ACTGGGAGATTAACGCAGCCTGTTGAATGTGACAGGTAGCCAATCAGAAAGCGCGGATCCTGCTTTCTGAGGGGAAATAACGAGGGGAATCCCAAACAGCTGACACGGCGCAACCCGAAGTCCAGCGGACAGCAGAGAAGATATGTGGAAACAACATTAATGTTTATTCAACGTTTCGTGAAAAGAATATAGAAATGACCAGGAGAGGAGTTGGAGCCAAATTGCTACCGCAGTTGATAAACCCGGTAACTTTTCAGCTGTTCTTCGTTAACGTGACATAAATAGGTTATAATGATTTTCATTCAGTCAGAACTTTACGCTGACTCTAGTCACATGCATCACAGGTAGATTCTAGTAAAACACCGATTAATGCCTGATTTTAAAATTAGTTAACTGGACTTGTAGCCATTATTTTGTGCCCATGTGGCTGGACACCACACGGCACAATTGAACCCCATCGAACAGTTATACCTAGGATTTCTGTCGGCTAATGTGTCTCTCCGGTTTTGAAAATGGGCCGACAGTCGGCCGACAACTCGTGTAGTGTGAGCTGGACATTACACTAAGGAAATGAGGAAGGGAAGGATGAGAGTACCAGAGCTCAGCCTTTTTTCATTCAGTGTCATCAAGAGAAAGAAAAAAGGCAAGAAGAGACGATAAAGCCGATAATTAAAATGAGGTCGATAGGTTTAATTTATCATGCGATTAATTGATTTATCGTTTATCGCGACAGGCCTATTCCCTAGTTCATACAGTACAAAGCTTAAGCTCATGGATGCCAGTCAAAAAGGAGTCAAATGTGTTTACAGATCTACCCCTGATCTATCCTTGTTGGAGAGTAAAATAATGCCATGTCATTTTTTTATGTTTGCGCAAACACATTTTTGGAAATATGTTAATGTAAGATCATTTTGAATGACATAATACCCATCGTCTGCCAACAAAATTGTGTTTAGAAGGGAGTAAGAAATTGTACAGAAAGAAATCACAACCCACTGTTCTAACACCAGTGAAGAAACTTTGAATGGTATGTTATGATGTAGACCCGTCAGACCAAAAAATGTACATGAATCAACATTGATATAATATCAGTTATGGTTGAAACTCTAAAGTTGATTCAACATGAAAGTCACAGACCACTTTCAATTTCATTTCAATCTATGTTAACATAGATTCAATGTTTCTGCCTAATGTTTCACTCATATTGTGCTTTCTGGGAATTATTTGCCTAAGATGTGCGAAAGAGTGAGAATATATGGCTTTTACATCTGTGACTGCAGACATTCATTAGTTTTTTACAGTTTCAACATCACATTTTGTTATTAGTTATCAGAGTTGTCTCCGCTTTTTTTTTCCTATTCATTTTGTTCTCTAACCATGTATTTTACTGCATAGACTGTTGAGTGGTGTGTTTACCAGCATTAATAAGACAATACAAAAAATCCATAAGGAAAACACATTATATAATTCACAATATTAATTAGGAAATAGTTCCTTCGTAAGAAAAATATTGACTTTAAATTTGATGCATAATGCTATAACCGCAATGAAAATTGTCAAAACAACCAAAATGAAAAAAAAACAAATCCTCCAGACAGAACAGGAATGAACTGACCTGCAGACCAGACAAACTTTACTTCACTGTAATCAGTGTAAAACATTGGTTCTCCTCTTCCTGCTCTGCATGCATATCCTGCTGTGTGAGTCGGTCGATGAACGATGTAGTTCTGTTCAGTCCCATTGGAGCTGCCAGGCAGCATTTCAATGCTGTAGGAGCTGCTGGATGGATCAGGAACAGCTTTATACCAGAAGAACCTCCATCCTGCTGGTTGATGCTCCAAACCCTCACAGCTCAGAGTCACTGAGGCTCCAGGATTCAGCCATGATGGAGACACAGAGAGGACAGGCTGAGGTTTAGCTGATGGAGAGAGAGATTGTTTGAGAGTTGTACAAAAGTATTGCCAATCCCCTGACACCATACTATTTTGAAGTCCATTTTTCATAAAAATGTAAACACATATTTTCTAAATATTCTAAAACCATTTTATGTCAACATTAACATGTAAAGGTAACACTTTATTTGAAGGGGTGTGCAAAAGACTGACATGACACTGTCATAAACATGAACGAGTCTTTATGAATGTTTATGACAGTTGTCATGAAGTGTCATTCGGTAAATAATAACACTTTTAATGCAAAGTTGCTCTAATATTCAATATTAGAGCAACTTTGTCATGTTCGTCTTATGCACACCCCTTCAAATAAAGTGTTACCCATATGAATTGACTTTCAATATGAATGAAGCCTTTTCATTTCAGGGTCTTATCTCTATTACTCTGCACTCGTAATGAATCCGCTTTGCCACACTTACATCTCAGAGTCAGTCTGAAGGTGTCACTCCATTCTGTGAGCTGACGACCTCTTTTAGCCTTACATCTGTATTCTCCTCTGTCAGACTCAGAAACTCTGTTGATCCTGTATTCGCTGGATGTTGCAGAGTTTCTATTCGTCGTTCTCCATTCATACGTCCACTGAGTTCCTTCTCCTCTCTGGATCTCACATCTCAGAGTGACCGTCTCTCCTCTATAAACAGGCCAGTTGGGATGCAGGGTCACAGTCGGCTTGGACACTAATCAACAACAATAAAACAATTTTCAAAGGGAAAATTTCCTTTTCTTGGATTAATATGATTGTTCCCATGTGACACGCAGGTGAAAACAATGTTTGCCTTGCTTTCTTCTGGTAAAACCACAAATAAATACCATATTCCAGTGTAGAGTTCTTGTAATGGAACAAAGAGAATCAAATAACACAAAGGTGTCAACTATTCCAACTAAGATGTAGCAAAAGGTCTTAGATACTGTAAACATGAAACTGCAGATGCTGAAGATGAATGAAAACTTATATTTATCAATTAAAATAACTAATTTGTTCACAACATGAACAGAAACATTTCATTTTAAGGCATCAAATGGCATCAAATACAGTCATAAAATAAAAACTAAACTCACCAGTTTTCTGAATAGGGACTTCATTGCTTGTTTCTGTTTGAAAAACTGGATCTCCTCTTCCTCCTCTGCAGCTGTAAACTCTTCCCTCTGAGACACTGATGGTTCCACTTGGTTCAGTGTTTCCTCTGATCCGACCTACAGAATATTGTTGTCCATTTCTGAACCAGTCAAACTTCCAGTCAACAGATTTGTCCACTGAGCAGGTCAGTGTTATGCTGCCCCCTAGTGGTATGGTTGTTCTGTCTGCTGTCAGTGTGGCTCTGGGTTTATCTGCTGTTGGGTTTAAAGCAAAATAGACTCAGTAACAAAACTATTAATTAGTCCAGGAAGCAGTATGTCTACAAATCCTAGTCATCTTAAAAGTTTGAGTGTTTTGTACAAAAACTATTCAAGATTAAAGAATGAACAAAGTTATTGTGGTTTATTAATAAATTACAGAGATACTTTGGTTAGTATTCACTTCAGAGACATGTTGCTGTTTTTATTCATCCAGCAGAATATTTCACACATTCCTGTGGTCAGAAAAAACACAATTTATTGTTTTATATTAGGTCAAAAAAAGAAAACCTCTCTTTCCCACACTTACACCTCACAGTCAGTCTGAAGGCGTCACTCCAATCTGTGAGCTGATGACCTCTTTTAGCCTTGCAACTGTATTCTCCATTGTCAGACTCAGACACTCTGTTGATCCTGTATTCACTGGATGTTGGAGAATTTCTAATGGTTGGTCTCCATTCATACGTCCACTGAGTTCCTCCTCCTCCCTGGATCTCACATCTCAGAGTGACCGTCTCTCCTCTATAAATAACAGGCCAGTTGGGCTGCAGGGTCACAGTCGGCTTGGAAACTAATCAACAACAATAAAACAATTTTCAAATGGAAAATTTCCTTTTACTTGGATTAATACTATTGTTCCCATGTGATACGCAGGTGAAAACAAAGTTTGCCTTGTTTTCTTCTGGGAAAACTACAAATAAATACCATATACCAGAAGTAGAGTTCTTGTTATGGAACAAACAGAATGCTACTAATGGGTTAAACAGACAGATTTGTAACTAAAATAAAAAATTCTGATTAAATATAAATGGTAGAAAATATAGTGATGTATGAACTAGTTCAGTTTCTGAGCTCATAAACTCCACTATGAAGTTTTGATTTTGACCATCATGTTCAACAGTCGACCTTTTTTTTTTTTTAAACTCGACCTTTGCTTCAAATTGCAAAACGATAGCAAGAACTGAAAGATAGAAAGTGAGTGAACTTTTTTCTTCTGGTAAAATCACAAATAAATACCATATTCCAATGTAGAGTTCTTGTTATGGAACAAAGAGAATCAAGTAACACAAAGGAGTCAACTATTCCAACTAAGATGTAGCAAAAGGTCTTAAATACTGTAAACATGAAACTGCAGATTCTGAAGATGAATGAAAACTTATATTTATCAATTAAAATGACTCTAACTTGTTCACAACATGAACAGAAACATTTCATTTTGGGGCATCAAATGGACCAAGGTCATAAAATAAAAACTAAACTCACCAGTTTTCTGAATAGAGACTTCATTGCTTGTTTCTGTTTGAAAAACTGGATCTCCTCTTCCTCCTCTGCAGCTGTAAACTCCTCCCTCTGAGACGCTGATAACTCTGTGTGGTTCAGTGTTTCCTCTGATCAGATCTGCAGAATATTGTTGTCCATTTCTGAACCAGTCAAACTTCCAGTCAACAGATTTGTCCACTGAGCAGGTCAGTGTTACGCTGCCCCCTAGTGGTATGATTGTTCTGTCTGCTGTCAGTGTGGCTCTGGGTTTATCTGCTGTTGGGTTTAAAGCAAAATAGACTCAGTAACAAAACTATTAATTAGTCCAGGAAGCAGTATGTCTACAAATCCTAGTCATCTTAAAAGTTTGAGTGTTTTGTACAAAAACTCTTCAAGATTAAAGAATGAACAAAGTTATTGTGGTTTATTAATAAATTACAGAGTTTCTTTAGTTAGTATTCACTTCAGAGACATGTTGCTGTTTTTATTCATCCAGCAGAATATTTCACACATTCCTGTGGTCAGAAAAAACACAATTTATTGTTTTATATTAGGTCAAAAAAAGAAAAGCTCTCTTTCCCACACTTACATCTCACAGTCAGTCTGAAGGCGTCACTCCAATCTGTGAGCTGATGACCTCTTTTAGCCTTGCAACTGTATTCTCCATTGTCAGACTCAGACACTCTGTTGATCCTGTATTCACTCGATGTTGGAGAGTTTCTATTGGTTGGTCTCCATTCATACGTCCACTGAGTTCCTCCTCCTCCTTGGATCTCACATCTCAGAGTGACCGTCTCTCCTCTATAAACAGGCCAGTTGGGTTGCTGGGTCACAGTCGGCTTGGAAACTAATCAACAACAATAAAACAATTTTCAAATGGAAAATTTCCTTTTACTTGGATTAATACTATTGTTCCCATGTGATACGCAGGTGAAAACAAAGTTTGCCTTGTTTTCTTCTGGGAAAACTACAAATAAATACCATATACCAGAAGTATATGGTATACTGTTATGGAACAAACAGAATGCTACTAATGGGTTAAACAGACATATTTGTAACTAAAATAAAAATTTCTGATTAAATATAAATGGTAGAAAATATAGTGATGTATGAACTAGTTCAGTTTCTGAGCTCATAAACTCCACTATGAAGTTTTGATTTTGACCATCATGTTCAACAGTCGACCTTTTTTTTTTTTAAACTCGACCTTTGCTTCAAATTGCAAAACGATAGCAAGAACTGAAAGATAGAAAGTGAGTGAACTTTTTTCTTCTGGTAAAATCACAAATAAATACCATATTCCAGTGTAGAGTTCTTGTTATGGAACAAAGAGAATCAAGTAACACAAAGGAGTCAACTATTCCAACTAAGATGTAGCAAAAGGTCTTAAATACTGTAAACATGAAACTGCAGATTCTGAAGATGAATGAAAACTTATATTTATCAATTAAAATGACTCTAACTTGTTCACAACATGAACAGAAACATTTCATTTTGGGGCATCAAATGGACCAAGGTCATAAAATAAAAACTAAACTCACCAGTTTTCTGAATAGAGACTTCATTGCTTGTTTCTGTTTGAAAAACTGGATCTCCTCTTCCTCCTCTTCCTCCTCTACAGCTGTAAACTCCTCCCTCTGAGACTCTGAATGGTTCAGTGTTTCCTCTGATCAGATCTACAGAATATTGTTTCCGATTTCTGAACCAGTCAAACTTCCAGTCATCAGATCCGTCCACTGAGCAGGTCAGTGTTACGCTGCCCCCTAGTGGTATGATTGTTCTGTCTGCTGTCAGTGTGGCTCTGGGTTTATCTGCTGTTGGGTTTAGAGCAAAAGAGAAAATTATTAAATTATAGTTTAAGAAGAAGTGTGTCATCTTAAAAATATGAGTGCTCATTTGTACAAAAATAAATTATTCCAGAATAAAGAATCAACAAAATAAGAAAATGATTCACTAAAAAAAATATTAATTAGTCCAGGAAGCAGCTTGTTTACAAAACCTAGTCATCTTAAAAGTTTGAGTGTTTTGTACAAAAACTATTCAAGATTAAAAGATGAACAAAGTCATTGTGGTTTATTAATAAATTACAGAGCTACCTTAGTTAGTATTCACTTCAGCGACATGTTGCTGTTTTTATTCATCTAGCAGAATATTTCACACATTCCTTTGGCCTGTGGTCAGAAATAACAGAAGTAAATGGTTTTATATCAAACCCTAACAATAAAAAAGCTTCTAAATCAGACTCGTGTCCACTGAGTTCCTTCTCCACCCTGGATATCACATCAGGGTTGTAGAATCACGGTCGACTTAGAAACTATCCAACAAAAACTAAAAGCCTTTTCATCTGGAAAACTGACTAAAACAATCCCATGGATTAGCTCTATTGTCCCCATGTGTGATATCTGGTTTAAGTGTTCTGTGTGTTAATTTGGTTCCCGTGTCGTCTCCTGCCCCAGATTGCTCCCGCTGTGTCTTGCGTCCCCTGATCACCTGAACTCCATTATAAAGTTTTAATTTCAATCATGTTATCTCTGCTCTTCAGATCGAAGATAGCAAAGGTCCTTTTCAACAGCTGACGCTTTTCTTCCCAACTTTTGCTTCAAATTACAAACCGATAGCAAGAACTTAAAACATAAGAAGTCATTTAGGGTTGTTGGGGGTTTTTTGTGCCTCTATTTTCAAACTAGCTCTGACGTAATAAACAAATGCTCCAATTCTAAGATGTTAACTAACCATAGTACATTTGGATAGAAATCAAGTAACACGACGAGGATCATATGAACTTTAATAATTGGCTATAAAATCTAACTAATCAAATCTTCAGCATTTTATATTGACATATGTGTCAAAAAGGCTCCAGATAAGCATCCATGCTAAATGCTGTCTGTTAAATGTTAACAGAGGAATTTTGTATTGAATACAAGGCTATACTGCAAACCAGTGGAGCTGATGTGGTGAAACGAGGGACTTCGGGTTATGATACAGGCAGCTGAGTTCTGGACCAGTTGGAGCTTATGAAGGGATTTATGAGAAAGACTGAAGGGGAGAGAGTCGCAGAGGTCGAGACAGGAAGTGATCAGACTGTGAACGAGGATGGCAGCCGTGTGGGTGGTAATAGAGCCGTGAAGGTGGCTAATATTACATAGGTAGAAGCGTGCAGACCTGGTGAAGTTATTAATGTCGGATTTAAAGGACAGTGTGCTGTGAAGGATGATGTGACCATCGCAAAGCCCTGACCTCAGTCCTATGGAGAAGTTGCGGTCAGATCTGAAAAGGCTGTTAAGAGCGAGGCGGCCAACATTCGTGTCAGGAGGAATTTCCAGAACTTCAACAAGCCACTGTGAGAAGTTTGTCAAAGTAAAACCCATTTAGCAAGAAGAAATTACTTTGGTAATTTTAACTGACCTAAAACAGAAGAGGTTTGTTCTGAGTTAACTTTAGACGGTGAAAAAGAAAAATGTATACGTCTTTTTATTCAGTCTATGCAAACTTCTGGTTTCAACTCTACGCATGCGTACCATAAGTCGTACATTATAAGTCAAAATTATATCAGCTGAGAAAGTACAAAAAGGCTGTTTCTTACCTTCTGCACAGCCAGCAAAATGTGTACCAAGCCCTAAAATAAAGTAAATTTCAGTGTCAGAAGGGCTAAAAACAATGAAAAGATTGAGAATGATAGAAAAATCTCCTAAAATTGAACTGATGGTTACATAAGTGGATAAAACACTCGGCTAATTTCATGAGCACACGAATGCATCTTCTCATAAGTTCTGTAATCTTGGGATAATGCTGAAAATAAAGTCAATAATTTACTTACAGAAAAAGCCCAGCACACAGAGCGAGATGTGGCCCATCCTGACATGGAGAACTGCTGTATGACGAGATGAAGAAGCAGAAGTCACAAACAAAGCAGAAAGAGAGCTTACAAGTTTGAGACGTCTATCTATAACTTGCTTAATTGCTTCCTTTTTTACTAAATTCACACTACAGCAAAACTTTTTACTGTAGGAAGTTGGTCACCATAGTTGCATTTCTTGTCCACTGGAGGAACTTAAGAGCTTGTGTCACATCCGGCATGTCCTGAGAACATTGGCCTTAAAAAAAACATTGCAAAGCTGATTTATTTAAGATAAATGAGGCTCTTGGTGCTCATACAAGGTGCCGTGATATTGGAAAACATTTCCACCTTACGCTGCTCCTAATCGTTCACTTTAGTTTGCCACTTCCTGGTCAAATCTTAGTGACCTCTTCAAACACTTGTATTAGCATTTAGAATATCTGATGCCCCATGTGTCTTTGCATCAGCTTTTCTCTTCCCTTTTTTTAATCTCTTAATCAGTTCCTGAAATATTTTATATACTTTTGCTTTCTAAGCTGATAAGAAGCTCTACGTTCTTCCTCTGACCTTTCTCTGTTTTTTAGATGTAGAGTTTGTAAATATTAGTGACGTTACATCTGAATCCTACGAAGCGCAAAAAGGGGGCGTGTCAGATGAAGACGCTTGTGTTGTCTTGCTGAAAACCACGTGACTGAATGATCACGTGACTGCTTCATTTTGCGTGTCGGTTTTCGAAATGAAAGCGTGATGAGCCGCGTTGCTTCATGGGTTATTTGTATTCGATCGCGCAAATACAATAAATAAGAACATTCACCAACATATTTGGCGTGCATTAAGGATTTTGATGATGGAATCTAAACAAAATGTAATGTTTGTTACTGGTTTCCTCAAATGTTGATTATGGTGTATTTTATGACTTTAATATTTTTTGTGTTTTTATGATGTGAAGCACTTTGAACTGCATTGTTGCTGAAGCGTGCTACACAAATAAACCTGATTGTCTGAAATGGAGCCAGCAAGAATAAAATCTCTGACATCTGAGAATACTTTGAGATGATCACTCACAATAAGATTCTTAAATTAAAACAATTAATCCCTTCACCTCCAAAAATCTCACCTTCTGAGAGTTTGCACTATTATTTTGATCAGCAAAGATACATAAGTCTAGCACAGCAGAGACAGATTTTGAAGTATGATGTAACTGAGTGACAAGGCTGCTACAGTTTGACCAGCAGATGTCACTAGTGAGTGATGAATGAAGTAATGAACCTTTGGTGGAAGCAATGGGCAGGGAAGCTTCATCTGGCCATCACTAGTAAATATAACCATTCTGTGTGTCATTGTTCTGATGAAATATACGTTACCATGTGGACATTTCTTTTGTGGCAGCCATCTTGGGTCCTGCTAAACAGGAGGCCCGCCTCAGTGTTGTGATGAGAGCCAGAAGTTGATTGGTTGAAACTTAAAGTAGCTAAAAGAATAAAATTACTTGCATACATTGTGTTGCACGTGTTTGCGTGGCATTTTACTGTTGATAAATAAATTTTAATTTCTATACTATGTAAATACGTGACCGTAAACTTTGTTGCCTTTTGCTGCACTACGGAAGGCTGAGGTGATTGGTCGATTTGAATTGAGAAGGCGCGGTTTGTCATTTCAAAGGAAGGTAGGAGAGATGAGAGTAGAAAGGGGAAACAGAAGAGAAGAGAAACTATTAACTAGAGATTTGGACATGCTGCACCTAATAGCTCGTTATTCAGAATACGGCAACATAATGCTGCCATTTGTAAAGCTGCTGTGATTCCTGAGAACCAGTTTTGTCTGACTTCTCTTTCCACACCTTACCTCTCAGTGCAACAAGAGGTGAGTGTTTTCTACCAATTGATATTTGCAACAGTAAATCACAATGTTTATTGATCTGGAGACATTTTTTTTCTGGTAATTATTCTTCAACGTGTTCCTGTCGGCTAAGTCTATTGAAACACCAAACACAGTAGTAAATGTGTGGCGTGCTTCTGGCTCACTGCAGCTCCTTTTACACAAATGATCTGTCGAATTAAAAAAAAAAACTGAACTGAAAAGTTAAAAAGACAGACACACAACTTCTCACAAAATGTATTTATGCAAATAAATTAACAATTCACACCCAGGCAGCAGTCTGTTCTACGTGAACGGAAGAATTATGGGGTTTTCTTTGCAAAAACATTCAACAGAAATTTAAGATTTACTTAGAATCAACACACAAATATTCAACACTTCAAAAGACAGTCAAGCATTTAGTGCTTGTTCAGTTATTGGCCATTTTGAAACACATATATGACGTTACACATTCGAAGGCTTTACTCAGTCTCCATGGTTCATGATTTATTGTAAACTCAGTTTTTTCTAGTGTATGTTGCTATCGGGGTTCAGTCTCTGCAGTCACACTGTGTGCTTTTGCTACTCTCATTCTGTCAGTATCACAGCAGGCACATTTATCTCTCGGGATGCCGTTCTTTCTTGGCTAACTGGCCTCCACATTCTGGTATGAATGCTCCGTTTCACTGGACGAACACATGGAGACTCTGGCGTCAGGCAGCGATTGCATCTCCATTTGACTGCTTTGCGTTAACGGAGCTGTAGCAGTTTTTGCCTGAAAATAATGCAGCAAAAACAAAATGTGTTTTAGTCGTTCGCAGAATATTAGGTGCAAATGGTTTGAATAGGATCATATTGTGAAGATCTAAATGAAGTATGTTAAAAAATGACCTTATGACGATTATATCCCACTGCAAAAAGTTTAATGGCAACAGCAGCACATATGCAGACAAATGCCAATCGAATTGAGGTCATCAGAATACTAAAAGAAGACTGTGATTCTTCTGAATTCAGTTTAATTAGACCTGTAAAAAAAAAAAAAAAAAAAAAGACATTAAAAATCCCATAAAAGTCAGAAAAATTGACAATTGATATGTAGATGTTTTTGTTTTCTCAAAATTCAGATAAACTAATATTCCTTACAGGTTGTTGAAATATTTACTGAGACATCGTTTCTGCT